TTGATACAAAGAAAAATTTTCAAATTCAAATGGTCGATCCCAATATATTTTTAAAGGTAATTTTGATGTTAATCCTGCATTTCTAATCAACATAAATTCGTTATCTTCATTGCTGCCAGTACCACAAAGCCATCTTGGTGCTTCTTTATTTAGATTTAAAGAAATAAATAATCGACTTGAATGATAAAGAGGGATACCAAGAAGAATATGACAAGTTTCTTGTACTGAAATATCATTTTCTGCAATACTATATATTAGCAATTTTTGAGCTATTAAAATTACTGAATTATCAGATCTACTATTAGATATGATCTGATTTAATATTTCTGAAAAAGCAGCAAAACGTGGCTCTGCCTTGCTTGCATATTTTGTAATATATTGTAAGGCTGCATGAATACTTAAAATTGGCTTAATATCTACATTTGCTCACCAACCTTGTAACTGAAGTCGACTATGTAGATTAATATATAGATCGTTTCTTGCTGTTACAAGTTCTGGTTCTCCATGACTATCTTCATGCAAAAAAGTATACTTACTATTATTCTTAGGAAAACCAAATCTGCAGAATTGTTGCCCAGTTTGATCAACATGAAGACAATATGTAGCACTGCATCGTGTATGCTATTGTTATTTATTAATTAAATCAATATAATCTTGTAAATCATCATATATCTCATTTTGACATTTCTGCCATGGATGACGATCAGGTCAGAGTTGATAAATTACCGTAATTTTCAAAATTTTTGGTAAATTACCTGAGCTATTTGGTAAATTATTCGTAAATTTATCTTTAGTTATTTCTGAATAACAAGGTTTGTATAATATAAATTATGTGATTTGATATCTAAAAATTTTTTTAGCCAATCAAATTATATAATTTGCAGATAGATCTATGTATATAAGGTAAATTTACCACACTTTCAGTAAATTACTTGGTAAATTACTATAATTTACTGATGGTAATTTACTACCTGACAACCTTGGATCAGGTATAAGTGCATCAAGTCCTGGATTTATCGTGGTAACTTGTGAACTAAGATACTGTATGACTGTATTCATGATTTGATCATCATTTTTTATTTGTTCCCATTCAATTACAGAAGCATTCTGTTTCTTTTCTATACCATGTACATATATGCTACCATGATGTTGCCACTCAAATCTATACCACCAGTCTTCTAAATCCCATTGTGGTTTTAGCACATCATTAAAAACACCTCAAACTGCTTGTTAAAAAACCAAACAGCAATATGAGGATTGTCAATAATATTTTGACATTGACAATTTGCAGAATTAATTTCTTTCTCTACAAGATTTTTTTGTGATTGTATAAGATCATGAAGTTCAGGCCAGTGCAGATCTTCAGCACTAAAAGTAAAGAATACTAATCTTTGTGAGTCTAATTGTTTTATCATATCTGATAACTCGCAACGATATGCAGCCCAAAATTGCCAAGTTCCATACAAACCAACACCAAATCTCATAATTTTGTTAGCCATATGTATATTACCTTCAGCAATCATATTTCAAATATCAGTAATAGTAAGCTGATCATTATTCAAACTTTGCCTAACAAAAACTTTTCCTTCTTGTAGTGCTCTCCATCACATTAGGGAATTTAATGCAAAATAACATCAACGAGAATGATGTGCAAATCTTCTATCTTTAAATTAGAGAAAATGCTTAAAGTATTCAGCTGGTTTGACATCTTTAGCACATTCTGCATAAACATCAGCACAACAGTCAGATATAAAGTTGATAATGTATATACAATATATCTTGGAGTTTGAAATTCATTAATTGGTGTATTGTCAATATGTGGCCATATTATTGGTGGATTCTCAGACTCCAGACAGTCAAGAGCATTATTAATAGCAACATTCTCACAATCAGTTGGTAGAAGAAAAGGTACAAAAGAACGTATAATTTCATCTTCATTTTCAATATTTGAATCATCATCTGTTTCATTAGTTTAAAGTTGTGGAAGCTGATCATCTATATAACCATCTTTAGACAAAGATTCAAGTACTTCATTGTCGATAGTAATATCAGTATAATAACAATTATTTGCCTTTAACCAATATAGTGCATTTGCAACAATATTATGATGAACTATAAAGTCTCTGAATGCAGTAGAATCATTTGCTGATTGATGATGCACAATTAGTATATTTAATATCGATAGATGTTGAGGAAGCCGTGTAGTAAATTTTTGTATGTCTTGAGGAAAATTTATAACATTTCCTCTATAACCGAGTTGCCCACCATGAAGTTTATATACTGACATTACAGTAAAAATTTGTGCTATTAACATTTCTTCTACTTCTTTTAAACCCTGATGCTCCTCAGATATTTCACCTGGATCCATATTATTTGTAACAGAAAACTTTTTTGGTAAAACCTTTTTACCATTGCAACGATGGCACATTCTATTGACAAGCACTATGGATGGAAAATGTTCATTGCATATAGTGCAGAGAACATATTGAAGGTTACTCATTTTAGTGCGAAATTTTCTTTAAAGTTCTTGTTTGACTTCATTTAATTCTGTAGCTGATTGTAATTCGACACTTATTTCTGCAATATTATTATTTTGAGATGTAGCTATAATAATCTCTTCGTTTTCAGATGTATTATTAATATTTTCAATTTGAGATAAAGTAGAAATATTTTCACCAATTGGATGCATACTTTCTATATTTACTGATATTACAGGTCGTTCTGATTCTTGCTGTAAATTAGTATTTGTTCTTGCTTTACGACATTTTCTTTCTCTATCTCGAGCAAGACGTGACTCACGTTCTTGGGCAGTTTCTGTTACTCTTTTTTGAAGCCTTCTATTCTGATTACTTGAAAGATGTTCTTGATGCTTTTCAAGTGACTCTTTTTCTCTATATCTATGTTGTTGGTGTGTACTACTGTAAATTGATTTTTATTTATAATTTTTTTAATCTTTAAAATAATGAAAATTAATTGCACTAATGAATTTTAGAATTTTAAAACTATAACATACACTGTATCATCTATTATTAAAAAAGCAAATTGGTAAATATTTAATTATATAAATAGATAAAGTTTATATACAAAATTGATTTTTAACTATATATATTTATTATTTAGAAATCTCTTTAAACATATAAAAGTTTATCCTTTTAAAAAATTCAACCTACTATTTAAATACTTTATTGCGGTCTATACCTTTAACTTTTTTCAATAATTTTATATAATTTACAATTTTAGTCACATCTACAGTAATATGTAATTATGTTATTGTAACGAATAATCTTACCCTTTTTGGTGTAATTGATTATCTAACTAAATTAGTATCATAATTGTTAAAGCCCTTGAGAGAGGTAGTATGCATATTGACTAGGAACCGGAACCCAGTTTAAGTCTGGACAATCATCATTGTATTTAATTAGCCAATTACTTAGTATAAATTGCTTATGAAACTGATTATAAACTGCATAATATTTATAAATTATTTATAAATCATTACGTATATCATTTATTTTAATAATCACAACCAGTGATGTAAATTGGATCCGTGCAATAGGTGTAGTACACATAGAGTTAAATTGGTGCATATATCATCGCTCTTCATATATGTAATGCGCATATAAATTTCTTTTTTTGTGCATACTTTTTTGCGTTTGTGCCAATAAAAATTTATTACTCTGATCACAACATTTCCATCAAAATTTTCGCTATGATCAAATTTTTGACAGTCCTTGATAAGGAGATCATCTGTGTCATATGCATCATCTTGCAAATTTTCAGGCTTAACCACACTGAATGTGTTATATATTCGATAAGCTTAGATCCTAAAAAAAATAATATAAAATAACATTGTTGGTAATAATGAATCGACAAAATTGTTGTTGAATGGATTTATCTGATGAAAAAGAATAACATCCAAAATCTTGTGTCGATTATCCTTCTATCGATAGATCTGACAGCCAATTTCTACAGTGCTAAAAAAATTTCAGATATTTAAATAATGGCTTTAAAATTGCAAACTAATTCAAAATAATTAAAATGAATACCTCACATATCCAAATTTTCATACAATCTGTTCTTACAAAATCATTAGAATGAGCTGACACAGTAAATTTTATAGCTTTTATTCTCAGATAATTCATTAACTAAAGCCGAAACACACATGTTTGATAAGTATCACTGAAATAATGCGATATATCCATTACATGATACTACAAAAAAATAACATAAATAAAAGAAAAGTGTTCGCTTAACTTACAATGGTTTTGTATAACATCTGCAGCACAATGACCTTCGCAACTTTGGGCGATGATGAAAATCTTTTGTGTGTTAGACGGTCGATGTGGAATAAGGGATTTAATGTTTACATATTATAAATGAAAAAAAACAATTAAAAATTAAATTACACTAAAGCATACATTACGATATTCTCGAATACATAATTAGTGTGGGCCTCTGGGGATTCATAACTAAAAATAGATAAATAATACTGATAAAAAAATTTTTTTTTAACCATAAAATCTTGACATAATGAGAGTTTGCATATTATTTGAATATGTCATTCTGCTTTGCAAGATATAAAACAATTTTTCAAGTTATCTATCACTATATATAAGTCTGCTGATATATTATTTGAGATAAGCGTTATCTCAGGACGCTCATGAGCATTGTTTTGAAATTAACTATGCTATTCTTAAAGGATCTGATTTTCAAAACAATGCATATGATCATTATTTTGAAATTTACATTAATCACGAACAGCCCATAATTTACCTGGAATCGTGTTGAATGGTGAAGTAGTCTTCAGCAAAATAAGCTATACAATCAATACGATGAGATTTTATTTAAATGTTTAAGTTCAGTAAAAT